ATTTTTCAAACGACTTAACTACTACGCTTGTCAAACTGACAGGACGGCAGTTCGCGGGCAGAGCTCTGTCACCGCCCTTAAAAATCGGACAGATGATTGCCTCCTTTCATTCCGAAGGTAAGGCACAGCTGTCGAGCCATATTGTAAACACGCATGTCAGAGGATCAGTTAGCTCAGCGGCCAATTCATGCATCAGCTTCGGATGAATTGAATCAGAGCCAAAAGCTGTGGAAGGATTTAGCCCTTGCAATAGCCCGAAGACTTGTGTCTTCGTTATGCTGAATTCGGTTAGGCAAAAATCCTCCGGGACTTTTGTGACCAGTTCAACTTGAGGTAGAGAAGCCTCACGAGAAAAGACATAAGTATGCTGTTCACTAAGTATGCAAGTGTTATCATAGTCGGTATGCCTACGGGTCCCGTCATCTCGTAGTAAAGCCGGTATAGACGAGTTTGTACCGTTGCGTCTCTTCGCGTAAGCAAAAAACTTTTTGGACTTGTTGCGGCTGCGTCAGCCAAATCCTACCCGGATTGAAGACGAAGAGTTGTGATATGTTGCTTACCTTTATTTCTGACCGCTCGATAGCTTTTGTAGGTGCTGGTTGATGAAGCCGCTTGTTAAGTTCGCCAGCACTTAGAGCGCTTCCTGAGCAAGTATTTACCTGTATGATCTATCCAAGGACGCTGCGCCCGTGTCACCCGTCTCTTAATGAGTGGGAGATGGGGAGTAGAGATCTCGGTGAGGTATGCCTTAAATTTCTCCCAGGCTGTCTCAACGGTGTCAACAACGGTGAGCGCGCAACGCAGAACCGAAGCTTTGTCTCGCATTGCGTTAAAGTCTGGCCGCTAAATATTTGGACATGTCTCAGCGGTAGCTTGGTGACACTTAGAGCACATCGAAAGGATATGCAGGCATGGCCACTAGCTCCTAGAGGACAGCCGTATATAATATCACTTAGGAAATCGTGTGACTTCGAAAAGTGAGATCCAAGGTAGACGGAAGTTAGTTGCAGATTTATCTAGTCGGGAGGTCCATGAACTGATGAAAAGGAAGTCACGTTAACACCAGGAGATCCGAACCGAAAGTGTCAACCGCCGAACTGCAAGGTAGATCTGCCCAGCAGACTTTAGTGAGGTTGAAGTCACCCAGTAGTAGACACCTACTGGAAGCCTGAGTACGAATAATAACTTCGCTGGAGATACTTCCAGGACTTCGATATACCACTACAACTGTAAACTGAGCAGAGGAAGTGCACACAATATTCGAGAGGGCTACAACAGTCTGATCCGGCGACTGGAACACGCAGGTCCTCAACACAAAGTTTAAAACTCACATAAACAGTGACGCCCCCACCTTGGCGGCGAACGAAGCGATCGCATCTAAGCGGTGCGTAGCCAGGTAAACATACTTCACCGTCTTTGATATCCGGGGACAACCAGGTTTCAGTGAAAGCAAGTATATCGGGATGAGATTTGTCTACAAGTAGAACCATTTCGTGTACCTTGTTCCTTAGGCTACGCACATTACTACGCATTACCCGAAGGAACTCGGCACGACCAGCCCTGAGTCGTAGGTTGCCAGGAGGGGTTCTGGTGGGGCAGAGTTTGACTGCCGGCTGACCAGCTGAAAACCCACAAAACGAAGGTCTTACTCACCAGCCGCCCGCCTGCTCTTGAGGCTTTTGATGGCTTCTTTTAACTTCAGTCGGTCTGCCAGTGGGAGGTCCGACTGAACGCTGACATTACTACCCTTGAGTTTGCATGTAAAGCGCATTAACGCTTTGCGTTCCTCCGGGGTTGAGAAGACCACACAAAGTAGTCGGGGTCACGGATTTGGTGTATCGACAGGGACGTTCCCCAATCTGATTAGCTTCCTGATAGTGACGCCGGGGAAACCAGGTGGAAGTATCTTGTTGACGCCGAGCTTGAACCACTGGAGGTCATCCAGCATGCGTTCTTTGGGAAAAGCTGCCGCGGATTCAGCAACTTTACGAAAGATAACGTTACTATCAGTAAAAAAATTACCTCAGCGAAGCGTATTCACTTCGTGAGTCTTCGACTCGACCACAGTAGTTTCGCAGCTGACACGGCGCGTTTCTTCGTCAAGGGAGCTGGAACAATTGAGGTTGTGACTTTGTGTTCTACCTCCAACTCCCTCACCGGTCAAGCCTTTTCAGACTTTGCGGGTGTGGCCGAAGTAGAGACGGCGCGTTACTCCGCCAATGAAACTGAGGTGATTAGAATTGGAGCTTTGTGCTCCACCTCCAATACCTTAATGGTTTCAGTACCTTCAGGCTTTGAGGAATCCTTGCGGACTTTCTTAACCCTCTTCCTCTTGCTTTTGTTGGGCACAAAGGATAGAAGATCGGTCTTGCCTTGGACGACGTCCAGTACGACATCAGAGGCCACTTTAGGGACATTCTGGACCGCTGGGGTACACGACACCGTAGCCATCACCTCAGTCGGATGTTCATCGACAGCAATTGAAGTTAGTTACGTGTCTTCCTCCAATGAGCCGACATCAACAGAGACTCCCATTTTCCTCATCATTAACTTCACTTTGCGATCAAGAGATGTAAGGAAAGACCACAACTGCTGGTTACCCAGCCCGACGTTGCTGGATGTCTACTAAGTGACCAATATGTGCGGAAATATTTACGCAACCTGCGATCTCACGCCACGTGCGAACACAAGTACGCAGTCTGTGGTAAACATTGCCATACCTCATTACTTACAAACTAACGTTATAGAGTTCAGATATTGCAGAAGAACATAGAACCCACCCCAATTCTTTGTGGCAATGTATGTTTATGTTGCTGTCACTCTGCCGGTTGATTTAGGTATCGTCCACACTTCATTGCTTCAATCTGGGGACAATTGGAGGAAGACTTCTTGTAGAGGGTTCTGTGTGATGTGGTTTATTTGCCGCTCCTTCGGCGTCCTAACGGCCGATATTTTTGTGAAGTTTTTTTAAGCTTTTGTGCGATCCCACTTAGAATACTGTATCCATGCTTGTCCACCTTGTCTTGTACGGGACAAAATGGAACTGGAGGGTTTTGCGAGTGGGTACAAGATCAGTGCAGGGATGACGGGCGTAAACATATCTCGAACGTTTGCTTAGCTTGGGTACATAAGCAATGCACTACCGCAGAAGTAGAGGAGATTTGATCCTCACGTTGTGATAGTATTTTGTCTACACAAGGTGTAGGCGCTTTGACCCTGAATGTTTGCTTGGGGAATTAAGGTTTTCAGGTAAGCCCCCCTTCTCTCCCTCTTATTATTCTTTATTTCATTGGTCATCATGGTTGTATGGCAGCGAAGCAACAGTTCAAACGGCTGATGTATTGCTGTTGTTGATGAAGGTCGGTCCAGACTTGTCCTGGCTATTTAGTCCAGCCAAGCTGCCTAGTCTCCGAGGTCACCCTATAGCGTCTGATTTGCAACCATAAGGTCACCGGTTCGAATCCGCGTAGGGGCGGGCGTTCTCGTGGTATACTCAGCCCACGCGTGACTAGTGGTGGTGGCGTGGCAACGAAGCACTGTTACGGCGTACAGCTGGCGATTTATTTTTTTATTTTTTAATGGTGAGATATACGTTAATTGTCGAAACGCAAATCCCGCTAACTGAAGACACCGTAAAAATGGTTCTAGCTATGGGAAAGGTCTAGTGTAGTGGTCGGAAGAATACTAGGAAGGTTTCAGTCGTGTGGCCAGTCGCAGCCTTAAAGACTGTGCTTTGATGGTGCGGAAGTATGAGACAAAATCAGAGAAATTTAGCATCAATGCACCCATGCGAGGTTTTGGAATAGTTTGGTTGCCCCTTAAACGCATCCAAGTTACGTAGTGAGGCAGTCAAAAAGTGCTGTCGTAAGGCAGAAACGCAGAAACTGCGTCCGGTTTACACATTTGTGGCTGGATTACGCCATGCAGATCCCAGCGAGTAGCGAGCGAGATTGTTGTGAACCGTGGCTAACTAGATCAACAGGACAGTCCTCCTATAGCTCGGTTACAGACGAGATTATTTGCCATAAATAAGCGCTAGAGTAATTAATCTAACAAATACCCGACTGTGCATGGAATTTATGGTGATTTAAATGAAAGTGGCAAGTGTTCCAGGGATTCATCAAGCCGTCGCGAGATCACTAGCTCGAGTCTAAATTGCGCAGCCCCTGTTTGATATGTTCGGAATAAAAATATTGATAGAGTACCAAGTTGGCAGATGGCAACACCATGCATCTTCGTGGCTGAGCGCCCTTCCGGATGACCCGAGGCCGCTAAACAGTATGGACGACATTTGGCGACAATCATAGTCCCTTGACAGTAGTTAGCATAGTCCGGTTCTGGCAACTCTGGGAGGTCCTGCGAAGACCAGTTATTTGTGCCACCACTAGCTATCTACAAAAAGGTTTATACATGGCGCGCGGTTTTTTACACTGTTACAGGGACATACTTTAGAAGGTACTGCGACTAACTAGCTATTTTTAAGTAGAATCCACTCTGATTGTTATTTACAATAAATATCAATCATAATAACCAGTTATTCCGTCTTGCGCGGCATCATCCCCACAACCCTGTTTCCAATATGCCGTTGCCTTGTCGCCTCACTTATGCGCAATTTATTTCTTACGCGTGTGCAGTCTCCCAAGTAGCAATTACTTCCCTCACCAACATGATAGACCTGTTAAGCCTGTGCACTTTTACCCGTCATAAAGCAGAGTTCCATGGTGTAATGGTAAGTGAACTCCGTGTTTGAACTATAAGACAGGCCAGTTGTCGCTCAGAAGATTAGCTACATGTTATTTTCAGTATATACATGTTCTATGAAGCAACAAATAGCGCTGTAACAATACCTAAGCTCAATGATCCGCTCAACGGGTTAAAAAGGAGCCAGCAACACAATGGACTGAATGCGGAACACTCTACAGCTTTATCAAGCGCGTATTAGACAGTGGTACACGTTAGAAATTATCAAAAGACAACGTTCAATTACTTGCGGAACTCACATTGACGTTTTGAGCAGACGATAGAAAATGAGTACTTCAACAATTCCACTCAACCCGAAGGTTGCAAACATGGTCGAGTGCTGCGCGTTGCCTATGTGCACGAACTTCCAGTCGCTACTAAAGCCAGTGTACACTTCGCCAATAATTCCGATCACACAGGCAACGAATTTAAGCCACGAGTCCAAGGGAATAGTCCGATTTTTGCAACAACCGGTAGACCCACATTCTAACGGAAAGGAGACGCGGTTGACATATTTCGGAACCAATTCCTCAGTAATTTGAAGTTCAAACGCTCGTCGGCGGTAAAATCGTCGCAATATATGGTAAATCGCCCACAGACTGAAAAAGATGAAGAAACTTCCAGGCAAAGCGTGTCCACCAAAGGTACCCATTGTGGTGGACGCAAGCACGCTCAATCGACTGTCTGAGCCGCGCACTGCCGAAAACCAGGCCGATCGATTGCTGGCTGCAGCAGAATGCTGATTGGCTCATTTAGTGAGCGATTCAGTGGCAATGTGACCTTGACGCTGTCTGGACTATGGTAGCTTAATCGACGGTTGTCATGGTGCGTGCTTTCCTGCCCAATGGCAAGCAAGTGATACATCAGGCGAATGTGTGTCGCAAGGTGTTGAGAGATCACCGACTGTTGAGAAGCTGCTCACAAATGATCAATGGAAAGCAGCAAGTCTACCACGTGGCCGTTAACGGCCAACTTTGATTTGAATGCAATTGCTGTTCTCGTGAAGAGCTTGCGATTAAAATGTCGTCGAGATAAGCGTAAGCGAAGTCTAAGCCGCGACAAACTTGGTCGATGTAGCGCTGAAAAGTATGTGCGGCATTCTTTAGACCAAATGGCATGCGTAGGAATTCGAACAAACCAAATGGAGTCGTCACGGCAGTTTTAGCGATGTCCGCTTCGGCTACCGGATTTTGGTTGTATGCACATACCACGTCGATTTTGCTGAAGATATTTTTACCCGCCAGACTGGCGGCGAGATGCACGAGGTGTGGGATCGGATAGCGATCAGGCGTGGTAACCGCATTCAAAGTTCGATAGTCGCCGCAAGGACCCCAGTCCCCTATGTCCTTCTTTGGGACCATGTGCAGAGGCGATGCCCATGGGCTGTTGGACGGTCTAACGATACAGAGTTGAAGCATGTGGTCAACTTCGACTCGTGCTGCACGTAGTTTGTCAGGAGCGAGCCGTCTTGGTCGTGCGCTGACTGGCTGACCACGCGTGATTATATGATGAGCGATCTCTATCGTTACCGCTGGAGCTCTGCAGCTGGTCGTACCAGTCGCGGGTACTCAGACAGTAGGTTCGCATAATCTGACGTTACATCATCGATTTGTAAAACGGGACTGATTATCGGGGCGTCCGTAAGAACGCCTTCTACCCCTAGTTTAGTACGGTCGTCTAAAAGTCTGTGGCGACCAGCATCACCAAGCAACCCAAAATGGCGGAGGAAGTCGATACCGATAATTGCGAAGGGTACAGACGCAACCATGAAGACCCACTGAAAATCTCGGCAAAGATTGAGGTCCAGGTTCATCATTCGCTGACCGAATGAAGCTATGGGAGAACCGTTGGCCGCAAGCAAATTATATTTAAGTTCTGAGTGCTTGTCGTTAGCGGTTGCTGGAATGATACTGAATTCCGCTCCCGTGTCAATGAGGAACGTGATGCAAGAACGGCGATCCTTAAAGTAAAACAGTCGGTTTGCTTGGTTATTGAATGATACGTTTGTCGTGCTAGTATGCGAGCTATTCGCTTTCCCTGAATCGACTGGGTAGTGCCTAATTCAGGGAGCCCGACAACGTCTAGCTCTTCCACTGTATTGGCGGTGATATCAACGTACTTCTTCGACGGATATCGCATTATCTGACTGAGAACGTACAGGGAAATGTTGCGCTTTCGTGTCGAATGTGACGTACTCGGTGCAGGCACAGACGAGCCGCAATGAAGGGTAGCCAAAACGTGGTCAGCAACTGACCGTGGCGCACGCTGTTTCGGTGAAAAGTCGGTCCTTCAGAGACACAACGTATATTCTGCAAACAACAGGACCAGGCGAAAACGGAGACAGACGGCGAGTGAAACATATCGGTATATACAACTGGTTGGATCCATAATTAACGACCTTTGTTGATGCATGACATTTTTCCTTTGATTCAGTCAAACAAACTCACTCCAACGTGTCCAACTGTTTGCCAATCAGCGTGCATGCGAGAAACGTGTGAACGTCCAATCGGTTGCCGCCTTTGCTTGCGGCAGCCTAACGGCTTCCAATCTGGGCTGGCACCGCACGTTAGTTCGAGTGTATACTCCCATCACATTTCGAAGCCTTCATTGCTGCTATCCTGCTGCGAAGTAGCGCCATTTCCTCCTCCTTATGGTCAGATCGGCCTAACGACTTGGGGCAAATATGAAACTAGTTTTTCATCGGTGAGAATACGTCACCGGAGTTACTGGTCGTCCGCTACAGGAAACGTTCGAACACCGCGTCTGCCTTGGTAGCTAATTCTTTCAGGTGCGTATCGAGGAACATGGACAGCATCACCGGCAATGGCTCTGGGAGACGTGCAAACCACAGCTCCTTTATTCCTTCTTCACACAAGTATATGGGACCAGCGATGCGCTGGTCTGACGGCTTGAGATCTCCAAGCCTGAGACCATTGAACTGTTCAAATCGAGCTCGTGTGCTGGGCTGTAACTCTTTTAGAATCGCTTGCTTCATCGTTTCATACTTTGTCTCATTTGATGGACAGAGTAGAATATCTTCAACCAGCGTCACAACCGACGAAGGAAGGTGTAGGATGAGCTGCTTGTACCTCGGACGGTCCGTCGTAATGCCCTTATTTTCCAGTTCAAGCTCTAATATAGTAAACCAAACCTCTGGGCTGTGTTCCATGAAACTTGGAACAGCCAAAGTAAGCATGTTTACGTTGTGAAACGACGATTTAGATGAGATTTTTGAAATGTGAATCAAGCAGTTGAACAACAACACGATAAAAGTACTAGAATTACGCAAGAAACAAATGAATACACGTTTATAACCGAGAAAAAGGAACGAACTCACAAAAAAAATACAATCGAGGAAACAAAAGTTGAATTCGCGCGTGCGAATCGGGGTCACAAATTTGTAGGACTGGTAAATAGTAGGTCGAGACGATGCGCGGAAATAAGCGCGAATATCAGAAGGCGATTGGAGTCGGACACAGCGGATTGTATTGGATGGGCTACAAAAAGACCCGGACGGTTGAAGCAGAACAGGAGGTACACGTTAGCGCTTGAACTTACAAGGCGGCCAAGTGTCGAGCCGGTTGTAAGGAAGATTAAATCAAGAAAGAATAATGTACAATTGGTCAACAATTGAATAGTACATAAAACGTAGTAGTTATCATTTTGCCGCTACAGCTGACAAATCCGCTTACACCGTTAAGTGCAGTCTGATCATTCTTTACACTATCACTCATACTAAATTATTACTCCCATAACATTGCTTCAAATATATCGGTACCTGATGCATTACAGTGCCAGAAGTAAGCAAGTGCGCGAAGAATATTCTTTTCGATAATTCTCATCAGGCGATTACAATTATGAAGCAAAACTTTCGCAGAGAATAAAGCCCGTAGAGGCCTGTACAGAGAGCAATCAACTCATTTACTGGGCAATATGAAAACTAAATCAATGCTTTGATCAATCGGATTGTCGCATTAGAAAGCAGGTGATCAAGGAAGGTCAAGTTCAAGGCTAAGGCAATTTCAGAGCCTGTAGCAGTGTGCGCTGTTTGCATAGCTCTGGTTTTAGAACTTTGATAGCAGTGGCTTCAGAAATGCTCAATAAATGTTTCTTCAGCTGTTTTGCATATCGTTTAGGGATAGTATAAGTGACTCGAAACGACTGGTTTATCTGGACATGGTGTCCAGTGTCGACCAAGTGTTGCAATACAGAACTGTTGGTGGATTTTACCGTGCCTTTTCGTACTGACGCAGGACAATGCTCAGTGATTCTTCTGGACAAACACCTGGTCGCATGTCCAAGATAACTAGCACCGCAGGTGCAGGTAACTGGTATAAGACAAACGATTCGGAGCGAACCGGCAGTTTGTCCTTTAGGCGCTGAAGAAACAATGGTCTTTTTTCGCAATTTGTTTCGTCCCTCTGCGCAGTCTTCGAGTTTCTCATTCCTTCTGTCAGCAACCTACGGGGTATGTCATGCTTATACTAGTTAACAAATTACATATTATTTTTCCATTGAACTAAGTTCACACAGGGCACGGATGTGTGAAATCTGAATAAGTATGAGGCCCCTTACTGGGAACATTGAATTTAGAAAATGCTGTTCTTGTAGGTATTTCCCTTCACTAGTTACAATACAGTAAGCATAAACATTTTAACAGAATTTACTGAATTCAGCAATTTCGCGTATTCTCATCAGCTGTTTACATACAGGTAGTGGAAAACAGTGCGATGTTAACAGCAAAATTTCAAAGCGGTCGAAGGTCCTTAGGCTCAGGTGACCCGTTCTGAGGAAAACGCAATCACTAGCCTCACCAGGGTAGGGCTAGCGTGGTCATGAAATCCGTATGCTTGCACAGATTTGGCTTCAGCAGCCGAATTGCTGCCACCTCTGCAAACTGTAGTAAGCGGGGATTAGCTTGTTTGCAAACTACCCTGAAAGCGGACACCGAATTAGGACCGCTGATGCCTTCCAAGTACTTTATGTAGTACAACCACGTTACACTAAAGGGCTTAGGAAGCCAATCTTACGGACGGCCGAAGCGATTGCGATTAGAATATTGCAACCGGAATTATGTAAGCAGAAGGCCTTGCTGCAAGGGCTTCTTCTACCCTGGCCCTAGTTAGCTCGCTAATTTTTACCACTCCAGGCGCCTACAGTGGTCGGATGATGCACTTAGCATCCCACCGATCAACTAACACGTGCTTTCTCACATGTGTTGTTAACGGATTTTATTGATCAATACTTTTGAGTTTCTGTTTGTCATGATTTCACTATTCCCACCACTTTGGCTTCATCAGCCGTTTGCTTTGTGCTTTTCCATTTTATAATTGTAAATGCCTGAGGAGATTTATCGAAAAGAGCACTCTTCGCAAAGTTGTGTTCTGGTACCCTGAAATTGCCACGTGGGTTTTGACATTCAGGGCAGTCAATTATGTGGCGGGCAATAGAGGTAGTCGGTATTTTCAGACCCTTAGCGATCATGTTTCGCGGAACATGCTCTGCAATCCTCGCTGACAGCCTTCTCTCAGTTCAGCCTAGGTACTTGCTACCGCAAGTACAATTAAAGAGGTAAATGCATGAGGCCGTAATTTGAGAGTCCGGTCTCTCCAGATTGGATTTACAGAGCAACCTTCTGACTTGATGCAATACCACTAGCTCAGCCGCATGGTAACACTTCTTAATTGATAGACGGAGGCGATGCCGGCATCTTCGGTCAATTTGAGCTCTTTGAACGGCAGTGTAATGAATACTTTTTTCTTCGGGACATCGGTTGGTGGTTTATCTCCGGATCGTATTTTCGCGTGCCGAGCTATAAATCGCGCTGGATACCCATTCTCTTGTAGTGTCAAGGTGACTCGTTCTAGCTCACGTTCGATTGTGTCTAATGAGCAAATTTGACGAGCTCTAGCAAAAGTGGTACGTAGTAAATCTCGTTTATAGGTCATTGGTCAAACGCTATTAAAGTTCAAGTACTGTCCCATCTTGTTGCT